CAAACTTTAACGTTTGATGTCGAGAGACGCTCATTAAACAAACAATTCAATTACCTATATTATAATATGTAGGACAGGTACATACAATTGCAATCATAACACATAAGTACCTACACTACCTATAATTTAAGCAAGACATAGCAAGTATTTATTATAATAGCTGTATACAAAATAACAAACTGTTTTTCATAAAACAACTAAATAAGAAATAAAATATTAAAACTCAAAAATACCAAGCAATAATTCCTATATTCTTGGGTTTGTGTGTGTAAGTAAAGACGAAGTAAAGACGACGACTAACCTAACCTAACATAGGCATTCAAAGACAATAGATAAGTGCCTACATATAATTCGAGAATGTAACTTATCTATCGTTTTTCAAGTAGAACTAGTTGTTCAGGGTTGATTATGAAATCCATTTAGAAGATACGCGTTTATTTTGGAGGCTACGAAAACTGTGGGTAATTAATTCATTTGTGGTTTCCTTGAGTAGATACGTTTAACTTAAGTGCGAAATATATCATTATTGTTTTACAGACGTATAGCTAGGTCTTCTTCGTCTTTATTAGACTTATATATTTTGATTTAAGTACATCAGTGCTGGATGACTCGTGTGCTTAGCTTACACTGAGTAGGTAACCTGTACCGGCAAAGTTATTAATCTTTGTTCTGATATTTGTTCTGATTTTTTTTACTCACGGTTCATCTTACTTTCACTGTCACACTATCTTCTATTGTCTTTTTTATATTTTATTTATGCTGCATCGTGGTTGGTGCTGAAAAACTGTTTTATCTTTCTTTCTTTTTATGCATATTTACCTATGCGGATGCATTATTTTAAGAGGGAAAATCATCGAATGACTGTTCCCGCCTGGGTGAGACGGGAGGGAGTGTCAGACTCTTACTGACTAAAAACCATCCCGTTCCTTCTCCTGCACGTCGAGCCGGACCGAGCCGGTAACCCGTAGGTTAAAACGGAGTTGCGGAGAACCTACGAACCCGTTAGGTTCTCCGCGACTCCGTTTTTTAAACTTTTAAACCTATGCATGCGGATGCATAGGTTTAAAATTTTAAATCTAAATTTAATTATATCACAAATTATGACACAAACAAACGTACCGTACGTATGGCTGATTTACTTTGCAACTTAAATATTCGATATTTGTTTTGTAAATAACACTAAACGAAATTTCTTAGAAGTAGGTAAATAATTCCCCTTCATATGTGAAAAATAGACATTCATCATAGCAAAACCGTTGACAGTAAAAGCCAGTGAACCATGTTACTAATTGCATGTTTCGCCCTTGTCATAATTCGGTCAAAAGGACAATCCGTCCTTAAGTCCTAGATTTAAATTAAAATAATAAAACAAATAAACACAAACTAATGTAATTTTGTTGCCAAAATAATGTTAATTAAATATTAAAACCAAAATATCGTGGTGGCATGGTATAAGACCTTTTATATGGCATAGACGTGCGCGATAATTCGATCAACATCTTGTAGACCATATTCTGGGTCCTTTGAGTATCTAACCAAATATACTAAGCCTGGGTCAGATAAAGTATTTAGCTCTTTTTCCTTATACATACATAATTCATAACGCCTTGTCCATTATACTGTGCTTAACTTGTTGTAAATTCCAGACCATATTTATAAAAATATTTTGTAAACTTAATTTTACTTTACAGATATTATTATATAAAATTGATATATCTGTTTGTAATATTGAAATAACCGCCTTTTACTATATGCCTATAAATATACCTACATACGATACCTATACCAAAATAACATTTTATTTTTAATTTTTGTCAGTCTGTCTGTCTGTTTGTACTGGTTGATCTCTCAAATGGCTGGACTGATTTTGACGGGACTTTTACTGGCAAGTAGCTGATATACTAAGGAGAAACATAGGCTATTTTTATTTTGGAAAATTGAAAGTTATGCCCTAAAACTCATATTCTACGGGGACGAAGTCGCAGGCCACAGCTAGTGTAATAATCGAACGTGAGTCCCGGTGAGTCACATCTACGAACACAGAACCGATAAAATTGATTTGAACTTTATAATATTTATGTAGTGGGAGAGCCATGCTTCGGCACGAATGGGCCGGCTCGACCGGAGTGATACCACGGCCTCACAGAAAACCGACGTGAAGCAACGCTTGTGTTGTGTTTCGTCGTGTGAGTGAGGTTACCGGAGGCCCAATTACCTTCCCCTTCCCCAATCTCCACAATCCCTGAATCCCCAACGATCCTCAAACTCCTAATCCCCAAAAAGCTGGTGACGCACTTGTAACGCCTCTGGTGTTCCAGGTGTCCATGGGCGACGCCGATTGCTTAC